AGCAAAATAATCATTTGTCTTCCAAAATAAATTCTTAGATCAACAAAATATCTCTTGAGTCAACATAAATTTTCTATCAGTGTGTATATCTACTGGAGGGTTATCTAAAAAAAAAAAAAAAATTCAAAGTATGTTACGAGTTATCTATCGATTGTTTATTGAGAATCAATTCCTTAAAAAACTAAAATTTTTTATATCGTAAATTCTAAAAATGTATATAAAATTAATTTTAAAAACTCATTTTAAGATGATGATTATTTTCAAATATCGTTATTAAATTATATGTACAATTTAAAAATTATTCACCTTTTATTTTAAAATTAAATTATTATTTTTTTTTAATATCATTTTAAATTAAAATTTTTTTACAATTTATTTTACAATTCAAAAATATTCATCCGTCTTAAATTTGTTTTTTTTTCCTATAAATCTAAATGATTTTTAAATCATTAAATCATTAAATGATTTTTAAATTTTAATTTTATTTTCATTTTTTTTTGCATCGATGTTGACGACACATTTCGGCATTAGTTTTCGGCATCTTATAAAATTTATTATTTAGCACAACAAGATATAAAAATACTCACAAACACGCTGTTAAATAATAACACACCACGCTGACATCTTACTGAAAAGCTGTAATACGCAGCCGCATACAGTGTAAAGTAGTATTAGCTCACGTACTTTTCACATATACTAACACACGTTAAATGCTCAAATACAAGCAAGTATTAAACAGTGTGCAATATACATACACACCGACATTTGCTCTCTCGCTTTGGCTCACTAATTACAGGCGACTATGCTTAGAAGACGGGAGTGGGGACGCTACGAAGTATGGAACAAAGAGGAGAGACCGATAACATAAAATAGTATGTATATTTCTGTCTCATTCTTTGCCGGCTTCATCCTACACATTTTTGTATTTGTGTCTCTTACCTGTCATTTTTTCCGTTGCATCCGGTTTGAAGTCACAACGATTTTAAAGAAGTTTCACTTCAAAAAAGTCTTGACCGAATTAGTAGACGTGGCAAAAATATGAGTAGAAAAATAAGTAGAAAAAGAAAACAACGAAATCTTTATCAGGCAATCTGTCTAGGCGCCACACTAATACAATAAGACAATGAGTTGGAAAATTTTTAAAATGCATACGTCAAATAACAAATACTTCATAAAATTTTTGCGCCGGCGCCCAAAAGTAAGCAAGCATAAATTATCTTTTATGAGCACATGCTATTGTCACTGATCCTAGGCGACAATCTCCTGCTGAGAATTCACACTTTGGCTACCCAGAAGGCTCTAAGTTTTACTACTCACTTAAGTTTATGCCTAAGACATTTGTTAAGTAGAATTTAAAGCCTAACTCTAAGTCGAAAAATTATTGTAGTAAGCTTTTAAGTCTGAAATTTTTGGCAAGGGTCGGATCCGCTTGAAACCGGATTTTAAGTAGCCAATAGTAAAACTACACAATAGAGCTAATAAATAATTTTTATATTGAAAATCTCTTATAAGAGTATAAGCTGAACCATGACGTAAGTAAAAATCTATCTTCTCAGAGCATTATACTATTAGATAACTTTACGTTGTCGTTTCTGTTCGAGTACTTATATGCATATAAGGGTGGCCAAAAAAAAAACGGAATTTTCCTGAATTTCAAGTCTGCTGTGGAAAATAAGTTAGTTTACTATGTTTTAAGAGCTGTCTCCAGCTATCAGTTCACAAAAAATTTTTTTACGGGTCGCTCAAGATTTTTGAAAATTTTCAATATCATTCCAAACGGAATTTTTTCGTTTTAAATTTTTATTTCTCGTCATATTGCTATTTTTTAGATCAAAAATTATGTACATATTAAAAATTTCAAGTAAAAAATTTTATTTTTAAAGCTCACTCAAAATTAAAAAAATTTTTTAATTTGTTTATGTAAAGAAGAATTAGAGAAAAATTTAAAGTAAACTTTTCGATTTTATCTGAATGAAAATAAATAAAAAATTGGAGTTTATGGAGTAAATTAGGTAGTTATCAGACGCCAAATAAATATTTGTTCATAAAAAAAAAACAATGAAAAGTTTGTTGATATTCATACTCAGAAGTTGCTCGAAAACTCTTAAGGTACATGACATTAAAAATTAAAAAATCTTGGGCTAGCTGTTAGAATGAAAATATCAACTTAAAATTTTCAAAATGTACATAATTTAAACCTAGAAAGTAATACGATAAAGAAAAAAAATTAAATACAAAAAAAAAAAACAATTTTTGATTGGCGATTTTGTGAATTTTTTTTAATCTTGAACGACTCAAGAAATAATTTTTTTTTTATCTAATTTTTGAAGAGAATTTTTAGAAGTAGTGAACTGACATATTTTCATAAAAGAGACTCAAAACATAAATAACGATCATTTTTTCGAATTATTTTAATTTACATTCTGAATATTCGTATGATCATACAAACGCGCAGCTTGTTTTTTTGAAGACAATTTGAAAAAAAAAAATTATCACCTCTTATCTTTACGTTGAAACATTCAACTCTGTAAATTTGGAGCGCTGACTCAAACACTCATTTTTTTTAGGATATGTAATTTACTGATTGTCAGCTTAACTTACATTTTCATCAATAAGTCTAATGACTTCATGACGTGATTACATCGAGATTATAAAGTGTGGCGCTACGAGTTTACGATGACGCCATCACCCATGTATACAGCAAATTTACTCCCTAAGTACTTCTAAATGAGCAATAAGGAAAATACTTATGCTTATGCGATCAGTTGATAAAATTACGCATTGCTCTATTGTTATCGAAGGATTTCTATGCGTCGCTGTAAAACTAATTGTCAATACTCACAATCACAAACAGTAATCTTTATGTACGTGAAACTCATTAGATAAGTAACTAAAATTAGCGGTTTTAAAAAAAAAATTCTTAAAAAATTTTTTTTTTAATTTATGGACTTGGAGAAGTTTCTTTCATGAGGAAATTGCTGATAACGGCTCTAATTTTATGTACGGCTCTAAAAAAAAAGAGTATAAAATTAATAAACAACGTTTGCAATAATTTTGTTTAATTCTTTATCAGATTCTACTTTCTATATAATCGTAATTAAAGAAAAATTACAGCATTTTGAAAAAATATTTAATTACTTAGCATTATACATGATATCTGCTAGTATTTAACTTATAGATATATCCACAAGATATAGGCGAACCCTTAAAAAAATCAAGTTCTCTACAAATTTTCTAAGTACTTTTTTCTTAATATTTTCAAAAAATACCTTTCAAAACTTTTTGAATTGAATTAAATTTTTTATAATTTGTTTTTGAAAACTATAAAAAATTATCTTTAAAAAATTTTTTTTTCATCCACAATTTTTTAAAAAAAATTTTTTAATACTACTCTTAACCAATTTTCTGCTATGTCCTTATATGATCATGTATGGTTGTATGGAAATATCTGAAAAACATTTTTTTTCATTTATGAAAATCAAAAAATATAGATAGTTTATGTACTTATCTATTACTGCAGTTTAAGTCTTACATTTTCGGTTCAGAGAGAGAGACACAGAGCTGCAGTCAGGTATAGGGGCTGAAAAAATAGTGAAAGAGAGTAAATGCAAATACTACTACACCTTAACGTTATTCACAGAACTTTACAGGAGAATGTAATTAGTTTCATCCGTAAAAATTCACGTGAAAATTCCCAGCCAGCAAAAATTCATTTGCAAAAAAATTTTTTCGGAAATTTCACAATGGTGAAATGAATATGATTATAACTTTCTATTGCTTTAGAAATATTAAAAAAAAAATTGTTTACTAAATTTACCATGCTGCAAAAATTTTATTTCATATGAAAAATTATTACGGGTATTTGAAATAAGTCCGTGTTAATTTTTATCCTTTTACTACTGAGTAGTTGATTTCATTGCCATTACTATTATTAACGTTGTCAACTTTGTACTAATAAACTTAATGTATGCCAAGATTATGGTCGCAGGAAGTAGAAGCTTAACAGGTAAAAAAAAAAATATGAAAAACACATAACCCTGCAGATCATTTATGAAATTCACCGCTTATTCAAGTGCAAAACGCTTAAAAAGTTGCCTATATCATAATGTTTTAAGCTCTGCGAGTTCAAAAAAATATTTCATTGTGACATTTTTGTATATTTATAACTGCTTCTTATGACCGTAAAACATAGAGATCCGATGGAAACATATAATTTTAAAAAATCGCAGTAAAGTCAATAACTTCCCAATTTTTGATAATCATCGATTATAATAGCGTGAACTTAATACTATTTCAATTATTAAATAATGAAACAAATTTTTTAAATCTATTCAAGTGTATGTTTTTAATTTAAATAAAAATTTTTCAAATCTGCTGTCTAGACAATGTAATTACGATCGTCTCTGTCTGATAATAGTGATAAGCATTAGTAAGAGAAAAAAAATACACAGTCAAATTTTTATTTTCAGTATTATTACTGTACAGGAACATTTTAAGCGCAAAGAGCCTAACTATTGGCAGGGTGCGAAGTATATGGTGGGGAGGGCTGGCGCTGACTACCACTTTTACGTGTAAATCTTATCAGAAGAGCATGATTTAACGCTAATGGTGACTACTGGAACTAAATTACTCCGTTTGATTTAACACAGAAAAAGCATGAAAAATGAGGGCAGCACCATCGTGCACCTGGCCAATATAGTTGTGTGCTCACAGTATGGAGGGTAAAAGACTCCCCACTCTTTAGAACGCATAAGTATAGTGAAGTCACTATTTTCATAGCCAATGAGATTTTTCGTTTCAAAAACGAGGTACTTGTGGCCCTCTACAAGCAAAGGTACCTAATTGTCGACCCTCAATGCATCAGTTCCTTTGAATCTTTCAAAGTATCTACTTCGTGATAGTTGTGCTTTTAACTTCGTAGTGAACTTCTATAAAAATTCTATTATAATTCATAGATTTGATTCCAAGTTAAAACATTAAAACGGAAAATTTTAATAAGAATGGCTACCTTCTTCAGCGATTCGGGACAACAATTCGGGACAGCAAGTCAAGAAGTTTTAAATAATTTTGGGCCTGAAATTAAGCACGTTATTACAAGCGAGGACTTATCTGTAAATCCAATAGTGAAGTTACCAGTGTATCCGCCAACACCAGAAAGCATCAAAACATGCGCCTCGGAAGATTCAAATTGTGATCAAAGTAGTGAGAGTTCTTTGAAGAAATTTGCTGATCAACGGAAGGTTCTTGATGGAAAAGCATGTACTCGTAAGCAACGGTCATATGTTAGAAAAGGTAAAATTTTTTTTAATATTTGCATATTTTTAATTGATTTAAAATTAACCATTATAAATTGGAAGAAAAATAATTTCCAATCTATTCAGCACTTTTATACTAGCACTTTTTTATTCTAATACTTGGAAAGTTACAGTATTTTAATTAGAATTTCATTTATTAATGTTAATCAGAATATTAAGATTTCACTTATAAAATTTTATTCTTTAGTTTTGATGTAATAAATTGGATTTTATTAAATAATATTAACTTGTAAATGAGTAATAATTTTTATTGATTTTTTATAGAATTTAATTCAAAACGGAGAGTGAGAACTGCTTTTACCAACGATCAACTTCTTTATCTGGAGAAAGAATTCATCGCACAGGATAAATATTTATGTCGTCCAAAAAGAATCGAAGTCGCCAAAAATTTGGGTTTGAATGAAAGACAGGTAAGAAAAATTGATTATTATTTTTTATATAATTTTATTTAAAATTTTTGGAGGCAGAAATTATTCTTAGTTTGAGTAAATTAACTTCGGTTACAATTATTTCTGCTTATTTTAAATCAATAAATTTTGAACTAATCTACTTAGATCAAAATTACATTTTTGAAACAAATTTATTTTTGTGATCAGTTTATGTATGGCCATTTAATTGAAAAAAAAATTTTTTTTCATTTTTTCTTTCTTTTAAATTAATCTATAATTTTATTTTTAATTTTTTTTTACGCACAAGAAAATTGATCAGAAAACCTTTTTTTTTTTTTTTCAAAAGTAATCCTAATAATTTTCAAGAAATTTTTACAACAGTTAATGTATTCATTTTTGGTCAGCTAATCAATGAGTTCATAGTTAAAAATAATAACTGTTATGAAATAATTGATATATGAAACTAATATAATTTTTTTTACAGGTTAAAGTCTGGTTTCAAAATCGTCGTATGAAAGATAAGAAAGCTGGATCAGTCAAAGATGATAAAGACAAGGAGAAGGATTCTAAGACTGCTTTGCCTAGGACCAGAATTGGATGCAGAAAGAGACACGTGGAAGTCAAGATAGAAAAAACATACCAGAACACCATCTTAGTGTCTTCTGTTCCTGCTCTTGCTCCTCCTCCTCCTCCTCCTGCTTCAGTTATTTACGGAGATAATCAAATGAATACTTTCAACCACAAGAGCTACTTATCCAGTGACATCCACCACCATCCGCTGAGTGATTGGAATCTCCACAACAGAATAAACTACAATATGATCCAAAGTCAGAACTATAATAATTCTAGTGGTCCTGACGGGTGCATTGTTGGCAACAATCATCCTACTGTTATTCACAACGATTCTTACAATTGGAACTATAACTACAACAACGAAAATAGTTTAATCCCCAACGGATACGAAAACGAAGTCAAGTCTAAAGAAACATATTACTCTTATTATCCTAATGAATACATTTCTAATAATGATTATTATTATCCACCTGATTGCAACAATCAGACTGCTGATCAAAATTCAAACTATTCCGGATCATCTCCTCAATCATCCAATTCCAACGAATTCGGTGATCTAATTCATAATTACAGATGTTTAACTAGCGTAATAAATATTTAAAATTCAGGTTATTTCTTTAAATATTAAGACATTATGAAGAGTGGATATTTAATTTCATATGAATTAAAAATAAAAATAATATATTGCATCCCTGTAAGTTCAAACTCATTAAGATTAATAATTTAAGTTGCAATTGGGTGGAAAACTTATTCAAAGCGTCAATTTTATTGTAAATATTACAATTAGATTAATAGCTTAAAATTTTTTTTAAATTCTTTTTTACTCAAAAAATGTTTGATTTTCGCTTAATTTTCAGATTATTGAAAGGTTATAAATATAACATACTGAAATAAAAATGAACTTAATCCGAGATAAAACAATTTTGAACATAAATATGATTGAAAAGAGTATAATTATCTTAAATCGAGTAAAATTTTCTCTAAATGGTCATGCCTCTTTTTTATTCAACTCAATTTTTATCAGTATGTTAAAGTTATAATATTATATATTAAATTATATAATAACTTATACCGTGATGTTATGTTCATGTAAATTTTTTCTTCCAACTACCGTTATTTAAGCAAAAAAATTTTCCTATAGAAAATTTTAAAATGTATGTGATCAATAATATAATAATTATTATTTTTACATTAAAAAGTAGTTGAAAAGATGGAAATTTGCAATATCCTCTTAAGTGTAAGTGATTTTCGAACAAACATAAATATGATTAAATTCTTTTCTGTTATATTGTTTTTATTATTTGGTACAATTAATTATATTATTATATAGTCAAAAAATTATAGAATAGTTCAATAGAAATGTAAGTTCACATTTTTGTGTTTGTAAATAATTTTTTTTATAGTAAGGATTTTATTTATAACTTTTTATGAATTTGTAGTAAATAAATATTGATAAATGAAGATATTTTATTGTTTACACTCTTTTTTTCATTAGTAAATTTATGTTGTTTAATGTAAAAACATATAAATAATTTTTATTTTTTTCAATATTTTAAATAAAATATTTCATTTCAGTCAATTTATTATATTTAAAATTTTGAAAAAATCATAATTACTATTTTTTTAACCTTATGTGTTAATATTCCGAAATAACTCAATTTTTTATTATTATAATTTTTATAGTAAGGTAAGAGCCCCAGTAGCTGCTCATGTACCAGTACATGCTCACTCCATGTATTTGTATATCTATATTATTTACAAATATAGATATACAAATACATAGAGTGACGAGCATGTACTGGTACATGAGCAGCTTATGGGGCTTTTACCTTAGCTTGTTATTCTAGTATGATAGTAAATAATTCGTCTAATTGCTAATATGAACTCTCACATGAAAAACAATCGTATCTGTTAAATCAAAAATGTTCTATCACTGCTGATATTAAATAAAAGAGATTAGATATTATTATGAAAATTAATTGTTTTTAAACAGTTCGAGTCTTTGTCTTTGCGATCATCGAGTTTTAAACACACTTTACCTTGCAACTTTTTGAACATAGAGTTTAAAAAAATTTGTGTTTTCTTTTATCGAACCTTTATGGGAAGTTAAAATTTTCATATTTTTTTTTTAAATAAATAGCTTTTATTTTTTGCCATATAATACAATATTTATTGTAGAATTTATTAGTTTATAATCTTGAAAAAATTATAATTGTTATCCGTCGTTTTTTTTACTTCATCTCCGACGCCATTTATCGTCTTTTTAAGATGGAAATGATTTGAAATTTGAGATTGAGCAACATTAATGTGCAGAAATTTGTAGTAAACAAGTATTCGAAAAAACAAAACAAAATTGATATTCTCATCACGTGATTTCTGATTTTTATTGGAAATTTATATCTGTTTGAGTTATTTGACGTTAAATACTGTTATTGAAGTGAAGAAACGGACAAAATATATCATGCGTTAAAAAAAATAAGAAACTATATCATGTGTTAAGCCTGACTTTAAGATTACTCCAAAAAAATAAAAAAAAATTGAAATTAATTTATTATTTAATATTTCGACGTCGTGTATTTAATTTTTTAATGCTCAAAATTACAATACTATGTATCTGCATAACTTTACCTTATTTAAAAGTTGCCCTTCCCTCGCTGGCACTGAGGTATCCATCCTCTGTACTGTAGACAATGTATTAATGTTCTGTGACATTTTCATATTGTTGTTAGTGTTGTTCATTTAGCACTACCCGGAGAGCACGTGTAGGGTGTTAAAGCAGCACCTACGGACGCGAACAACGTTACCCTCGTCTTGTTAGGTCAGTTAGTGTGACCAACCCATAAAAGGGGAGTTTTGTCCACGGGAGCGTATTTTGTTTGGTTATTTTGCTTGGCTCCTACCCGCTGTACCTCATCCACTAAGAGATTATCCAAGTGTCATCTAAGGACAGCGAGTGTCAACCCATCCGCTACGGGGAGACGCGCCCGGTAGCAGTATCTCTTCTGCCCCGAGTGTGTGTGTGTGTGTGTGTGTGTGTGTGTGTGTGTGTGTGTGTGTGTGTGTGTGTGTGTGTGTGTGTGTGTGTGTGTGTGAATAATAGCTTTTGATTTTGAACGACTTGACCGATTTCATCGAGTTTGACGCCATTCGAAAGGGCTTCGCCAAATTTAGCTTTTCTGAAAATTTGAACCGATTCAGACCGATAGATTTTGAGAAATTTGGAGAAATCTAAAAAAAATATAATTTTTTTCAGAAGTGGTTTTTTTGGAATAACTTTTAAACGGCTCTACCGATCGATTCCAAAAACTATTCAGCTCTCAACCTTGAAAAACCATGTCGATCGCCGCCAATTCGGTCAAAATCGGTTGATTCGTTCGAGAGATATCGTGAACGAAAGAAAACCGAAAAAAGTGTTTTTTCGGAGTCACTCCGAAATTTCTAGTTTGACCAATTGAAACTTAGAAATTCTTTATGAGGCCTCAAAAACTGCGTAGAATGCCGCCAACCACGTAAAAATCGGTTCATTCATTTAAAAGTTATTGCGGTTTGAAAATTAAACAAATAGTGTTCTATGAAACTTCTATCAGACTTTTGAGCTCAAGAGCTCAAAAGCATAGAAAAGGTATCATTTTGAAACAACGCACAGATTGTACTTTTGAGCTCGAAGAGCTCAAAAAAAAAAAAACGGCCATGTATTAACGGAATCAGCGGGAAGTTGCTAAAACGCTATTTCTTAAACAAAAAATAGCAACACTTCCCACATACACACAAATGTTCCGAATATTTTTCTGTATTTAAAAAAAAAAAAAATCAAAATCGGACCATTTTGTCGAAAAGTGTCCAACAAACCACTTTTTTTCCAGGCCTACTGGACTATATGAGTAAGTTATTTAGCTTCATTACTTATAAGATATAATCATACAGCAATCAATAGAAAAATATTTACATGATCGATTCATAATATCGAGTAATAATTTATCTGGAACTTTTCGTAAGATATATTTTGAACATTATCTTGTTGAATAGTAGTGGTATTGAAGAGAAAAGAATATATAATAAATTAATTACAAAACTATGAAAAATAATAATTAAAATTAAAGAAACTTTACGACAAAGACTGTCATTAATTTTCGTAACATTGTACAAAAATGCAAAAGAAAGTTCTGGTAGTTGAAATTTCTGGTTAAATTTTTTTTTTTAATTTCACAGTAGCGATCTCCCTTCAAAACTTAATTTGCTGAAAAATATTTCATCGGTAAAATGTTTTGTTGTCGGTCGATCTTTTTTTTTTTATGTTAATTCATGTGAATCACTTTTGAAGATTTTATTCAACTGAAAAAGAAAAATCTGTTTCTCACTAGATTCAGTGGCTACCATATGTGGTAATTCTATTGTTAGAAACACGTTCTAATATTTGTATTCTTCGAAGCTCATTTTTTTCGATCGATATTTATAGAGGATCGAAATAAATGAATGAAATTCATCTTTAAAATTGTTATTAAAATTTGGTATGAAATAATAAATTTTTCAGATCAGCGCAAGGTTGAGAGAAAAAAATAACAAGTTTAAGAGTCACTTGCGATACATCTGGTCGAATAAGTTAGTCAAGGAGTATGTTGTTGAAGCTATGAAAGGAGGCAGTATCAAACTTGATCAGTTGCCTGATAAATCTTCAAGCGATGCGGTAAGTAAAGTAGCTTCAATTAATTCCATTTCGAAAGATAATGATAATACGGTGACAAAATCCCAAATCATTCCTGAATCAAACGTAAAAAACACTGAGTTGGATGGAATCAAAAAAAGATTATCTGCGGATTCTACAGTGCAAAAAGCGGAGAGTGAGAAAAAAAAATTTTCTCCGATAAAAAGCTATACATCAATTAACAATAGTAACTCGAAGAAGTATAATATCAAAGATTTCACGATTATAGAAATTGTAAAAGACGGGAACTGTGCATTTAGAGCTTCTGCTTATCTACTCTATAATAATCAGCATTTGCACAGACCAATTCGACAAAACGTTGTTAATTTTGTTGTAAATAATTGGAAAGATAATCAAGTGCTTGTAAATGCTACCCGCAAAGCAGTTAACCGAACTCCATTTAACAAGTCCATTTAATAAGTTCCACTGACAAACCCAACGGTAAGTAATGAAAAACCCGGTTATTTCTTAATTACAGGATCTTGGACTGACGGCCATATTAATGTATTAAAAGAGAATAAAGAAATTACAGATACCAGACTAAATGTTGAAGATGACACAATAACGAATTCGAAAGGATTATGCGATCATGATGAAACGAATTTACTGGCCCAGCCAATAAAGTCTAACGACACTAATCCTAGTGAGAAACTTGAAGCACGAGTTTCAAATTCCATTGAAAAAAATTCAAACCCTGAAATATTAGAAAAGCCTACACAATATGAAATTTTTAACTTTGAGGAAGATGATGATAATGAAGTAATTGAACCATTCAGATGCAGTAAAAAAATAGCGGAAAAAAACAAATTGGAGGAATCAGATTCAGAAAAATCAGAAACTAATAAAACTGAAGTCTCTGAAAGTTCCGAGGGCAGTGACAAAGGAAATTCTCCAAAACA